GCAACTACTCATACTACTATTTCTACTTCGCGGTTTTTCACTTATTGCGGGGTCCAAGGTACGGATCCCTTGCGATAAACAAGAAACTACTGTACACCAAAACATACTAAACTTAATGTTTTCCACAAATAAGTATTAGTTAATTTGCTAATCCTAGGAAAGTATTTGTAATGCTCTGTTACACAACATAAGCTGTGTATTTTAATCATGACTAATGCTTTTATGACTCAGCGGCAGACAAAGAAAAATGATTTCATCTGTAAAACCAAAATGTAAATATTGAACAAACAACAGCACGTGCTTTTATTCAAGGTTCCGACACGTTTTTCATTTCAAATTTTCTTTATCTCTCTTTTTTAAAAACTTGAACATCCAGATGTGAATTTCCTGCAGATGTTTGCAGTGACCCACCTGTCTTACACGGGGGCGAAAGTCTTCAGCACAAAACAATGATTCTTTGGTAAAAGTATTCATTTTTAGTACAATGACAAAAAGTTTTATATGTTTTAGGACTTTGCAACCTCACGACTGACAAATTTTATGTTGCAAATGTTAGCACTGTTAATAATCTCTAGTTTCACAACCATATAGCGTGCATGGCACTCTTAATTACGGCTTCAATGTTTTGTTTAAAGACATAAAGAGGGATTTACATTTATTATAACGTTTAATAGTTTCTGACGAGCCAAACTATTCACTGATTTGTTATATATTATGTCTGCCTTATGTGCAGGAAAAAAAGCACATTTTTGTTAAAGATTTTTTTAATCTTTAAAAAATGAATAGTCTGGAAACACTTCTTTTTTCCTAAACTTATCCAGACCTGGAAAATATTTAATACAGCAGTCATTTTGTTCCAACCCACCCAGCACACACATCTAAAGCATCTACAACTTTTGTTTTAACGACTTATTTGTGAGTTTTCCTGTCCCGCTCGAGAGCAGATTGTGTTCAGTCAGCCCTGTTTACCTGCAGTTGGGACATGTGGCCTGTTCTTCCTTAAGTCTGGAATCAGCCAGGAGGTGGATAAAACAGCCGGCACACATCAGGTGTCCATTGGTACACTGCAGAACAAATAAAGTAAATGAAGCGAGTCGTTAAGGGAAAAGAAAAACATCCTTACTGAGCATTAAAAGGAAAACTGGAGAACATGTTGAAAATGTGCGTTAAGTTATAAAACTTAAAAAATTCTTTACTAATAAATAGTTAAGAATAACCTGAGAGAATGGACTATTTTAAGGCGATATTTGTCTAGTCATACCAAAGCATGTTTATAGATAACACCATTAGTCACACGAGACCTTAAATCCACATTATTTTTGATGGTGGTGATAAAATTAGCGTGGAGAGATTTCTGTAAAGTGCATGCAAATGTAAAGGGGAAAAACTAGACGTTAAGGAAAGCACTTTTGCAGGGAAGGACATTTAATAATTGTATAAGATGGACTAATGTTTATGTGCAATATATTACTTTTTATAAAAAGACTATGAAGGAGCAGTTTGAGGCCATTTAGGAGAATGAAGTGGGTTTACAAATGGGCTGAGTGTGGGTTTTTTGGGTGAGTTGTGGCTTTGTTGAGGATATTTTCCACCATTAGAAACTTGGACCAGCACAGCAGACCACCTGGTCCAGTCTGGTCTCAGCCTCATGGCTTCACTTTGCTGGATGCTGATGCATCACCAACACATTCAACAGGTTGACTCGTGGTTTGGGGCACATGAGAAGTTTATACAAAGTGTTTCAGCTGTTTGACTCAGTTAAGGGTTATTATAAGGCAGGGGGTGCGGGGGTTGTGATTGACGCCACTTTTACCTGGTACACAGACGCCTTGGGTAAGTCTAGGCACACGGTGCAGCACAGCACTGAGTACAGCCTCTCCTCCAGCTTTCCTGACTCCCCCTCGGGTATTTTCACCCTCTTCTTGGGCGGCTCGTCCGGGTCAGCCTCGGGCCCCTCTCCTCGCCGGATCCCGACGTCCTCCTGCATGGCCGCGGCCACAGCCTCCGCCGCTGCCCCCACGGCTCCGACCCCCAGGCCGGCCGAGGAGGAGCCTGGGGCAGCCGCAACGCCCACGTCCCTCTCTTCCAGCGAAGACATGTCGTGTAGAAAAATAGTCTTTTCTTTAAGCGACTCGCCCCGACCGGGTCGAGCCCGAACTGTTAGCAGTTAGCTCGGGGTGGCAACCTGTCGAGCTCTAACGGTCAGCTGACACGGCGAGCTAGCGGGAGCTAAGCTAACACTTCAGGAAGCAGGCTGTCGGGAAGGAAAGGCTAACTTACCATTAAAAAAAACAACCCCAAATAATAAATATATTCCCACAAGCAGATTGCCGTGTAAAAACTAGACCGTGCGCAAGATGCTAACCGCTAACAAACAGTAAACGCTGACTAGTTCAGCCGACTTACAGTGAGGCTAGCGGACTAGCTACGTTGCCACAAACAGCAGCGGTCCTTCTCTCTGAGCCCAGTCGGAACAAAAACTACTCAGCTGCACTCTCGACGCCGTTATTCGCAACGACAGCAGGTACCGACGTGCACCGGCGGCCCAGTTCGGCTGCTCCCCCGCTCCGGTACCGGCTCACTGTCCAAGAGGACCCACGGGAAGTGTCGATGATTAAAGCTACAGGGAGTTTTGTTTCTTTTCTGGCTACACAGCCATCTTTGTTTTGTTTTGTAATTTTTTTTTTCCCCCCGTCCGTAAAACCCTCTGCCCAGCCTTGAGTTACTCGAAAAGGCTTGTTAAACTGTGGCTTGACATAAAAGTCACGTATTTAAAAGTAAACATTTCGCCAGCATCTGTAAGGGGCCCTGTATCTGCTCACAGCCGTAAATTGGCTGACAGCGGAATGTTTTGTTTTGCCAGATGACTTGGGGTATTTAAAGCCTTCAAAGCGCGCATGCGCGATGAGCACCTGCCGATCTGCTGCGCTGTGCCACCTTTAATGTATTTCACTACATTCAGGATTCAACAAAATCCACAAATGCATGCTCCTACTTTTTGATTGTACTTATTTATTTTGCAGACATGTTCCTAATTATCAATCTATTGCGTACAGACCGTTTTTTTAAAGGTGTTGGAGCAGATTTCCCATAACATTTTGTTTTAGAGCTATAAAAGTAGTCCAAACATTGGCTGAGAAATCCAGAAATTTCAGTTTAGAAAACAATGGAATATTAAAATGTGAATTTCATAGATACCCTGCACATTTCATCCACTCATTGTGGCAAGTCGTTAACAAAAAGGAGGTTATTTTGCATAAAATGTACGAGGACGTTATTTCTTACCAATCAAACTACTATCCAAACCATTCAGGTAATAACATCCAAAACAATTAAATAATTACTAAATTGAGATAAAAAAAAACTATATATATATTTGTTTGTTTTATAAAAGATTTATGAAACTTTTTTTATGTTTTGAGTTATTGACCCTTCCTTTCCCATTTCTGTTTTCACCTTTTAGCAAATCGGTGAATAAACTTCATGGAGAAAACAAGAATTAGCATTAACTTAAGCATAATATTTGCTTTAACCAATCACAACAGTGATCATTTTTTACACGAAGACAATATTAAAAAGGTAATCTATTTAACCACATCTTTTTGTGTGATTTATATTCCTCTTTTCTAATTTCATTCCAAGTAGGACTTTAATAGCATGTCTAATGATTGTAACAACGCTGGTTCTTTTAGTAAAGCATCTTAAAGTAAATAATTTGTTGCTTATGTGTGATGATAAAAGTCATAATTTAAAAACTACTATAGTCTGGTACATTGACTGCATTTTTATGGTGCGGCTGCTGCAGCCTATAAAAGTGGTTCAGCTGTTTTCTAGGAATCCTCTGGCTGTGTGTGTGTGTTGTGGATGCATTAATAATTCAAACAGAAAAACAGTGATTGAGAAACCCCTTAACTACACTTGGCCTGTGCCACTGATAGTTCAAAAGCATTTACAAGCTTTTGTTAGTGGCCCAAACACAGTATGTGGGTTTGAAAGCCACAAAGGCTGGGAAAGGGTACAAACAGGGAGGTAATGGGGGGCGAGAATGCTTTAAGCAGGGTGGGGCAGGATGTCCGTGTCAGCTGTCTGCAATCGAGAGGGACAGGATTAACCACCCCCTGTGGGCAGAAATATATGCCTTATTTGGTGTGTGCGGTGTGGCGAGGGAGAAATCCCCCCCTCAGATATGCACACCGTTTACCCAGAAGATGAATGTGGTCACGTTGTCCTCAGTGTTGAGCAATATTTGTCACAGGATCTTACTACACACTGGTTTGCACAAACGCTGCAGCAGATACGAGTAATTCTAAACAACCTCTTATAAATAAACACTGGTAAATATGATCTGTTTATTGCAGGAGAGCTGGAACGTTGCCTTTGCTGATATTTTAGGTAAGAATTCAATGATAAAATAATAAAGTATTTTATGACAGACTTTAGGAATGTACTTTTAAGATTAATTTCATAAAGCATGGTTGTTAGTTACATTAAAACGTCCCAACAGACTAAATATTCACTTCTACAAAATATAAACATGGTTTACAGGAAATTAGGTCAACACTTAAAAAATGATTTACAACTTCCCGAAACGTCTTTCTTTGACAGGCCAGGAGTCGTTACACCGTGGGTTTCTTGTTACAAGACAAACGTTTATGAGCTGCATCGAGCCTCATCAATCAGACTCTGTTTGTTCCAAGAGAGTAAAAAACATCATCCGCTGCTCATCACAAGATTCATTCAGCACTTATCGTTTTCTTTACCAACTTTTCTGTGCAGGGTCACAGGTGTGATCACTGTTTGAGAGGCAGGACTGGTTACACGTCCATCACAGGTACACATAGAGACAAACAACCCTTCACACCCACTTATACCTGGAGACAATTCAGAGGTATGGTCCACCGTGGTAAAAGTGACCCATGAGCTAATCAAACAGTCAAACATGAGATTAAACAGAAGCGTCGGGACTGACAGGGTGCGTGATGGTTTGCCTTGTTACAGTCTTCAGTTGGGTGTTTTTGGAGGGTGACTGCTGCAGGGTTGTGTATGTTTGTGTTGCTGAAGAAGAGACAGAGTTGCAGTCGGTTTGGATGATGGACTGAGTCGAGCTGAGTGACCTGCTGTGATTTGGAGCGCAGCTTCAGTTAAAGCAGGTGAATCTGGAGGTGACTCGTGCTTGCTGTCAGCTTGGGTTGCAGAGAAGCCACGCTGAATAATGTCACCGTGATCTGCTATTGGCAGCTTTGGACCTGGATCCTGTGTATCGTGCTGCTCTCCAGAGGTTAACTCAAGTTTCTCTTGACTACATGTTCCAACTAAAGGCGTCTGATTTTTGTTTTGTGAAGATATGACGTTGACTGTGCTCATCTCTTCTAACTGTAGCGGTGCAGGTTTAGTCTCATCTCGTCCTCTTGCTGGGAATCTCCGGGGATACGTATCCTTGTGTCTCCTGGGAGTGATACTGTGTTTGCTGCCACAGTGTCCTGCTGCTTTGTCTGTGGGTGACTCTGCTGCAGTTCTCTGAGCAGATCTCTGAACTCTCTGAGGTTCTGCTGCGTTCCTCTGAGTTTTGCCAGTGAGCGCCCTCTGCCTGCATATTGAAGCCATCGTTTTCACCCACTGGTGCTGGAGGGTTTGCTCTGCTGTCAGCCTCACACTGGGATCTGGCTGAAGCAGAGATCTGACAAGGCTTTTAGCTTCTACACACCCACAGGAAAAACAGTTTGTGTTACTATTTATGACATTTCTGCCTGTGTGCAATATATTTGTATTTGTCTCACCTTCTGAGATGGAGTCCCAGTAGGGGGGCGGAAAGTGAAGCTGTGCTTGTTTTATCAGCTTGAAGAGCTCTTCCTGATCCCGATCCCGACTTCGAAATGGGGCGAAGCCACAGAGAAGGATGTAAAGAATCACACCCAGAGCCCACACATCCACCGCTACACCATAACCTGGACGGTAAACCGTTAAAACAAAAAAAAACATTTCAAAATTACATTAAAGGCCTAGCATTCCTTTAATGCCAGAGTTTTAATCTCACGAGACTGCTAGATGATACAAACATCTCTTAGCTACTACCAGACAGCACATCAACTCAATATGTTTGACAAAGTTACAGCCATTTTTGCTAAGGTCTCCTTTGGAGGTGGGCAATAAAAATCAGACTGAAGTTTCTTAAAAGTGCCCCACCTGTCTCACGGAGGATCTCTGGGGCTACATATGTTGGTGTGCCACATATGGTGAAGACCGGTTCAGTTACGACCATGGCGAGACCAAAGTCTCCTAACTTCAGCCGACAGATGTCCACAGTAACTTTCTCTACCTGAGTAAGAAAAACATACAAACTGGACAGCATTATTAAACAGGGGAAAGCACAAACTTTACTCTAGAGCGTCATGGGCATTATTAATAAACCTTTAACACAGACCCAAAGAAGATACTGGCTTAATATCCATCTGTTCTGATACCCACCAGCAGGTTTTCTGGTTTGAGGTCTCTGTGGACGATGCTCCTACAGTGGATGTAATTCAGTGCGTCGCTCACATCTGACACCATCAGTCCCGTTTCGGCTTCTGAAAACTTCCCCCTTTCACTGATGGCCTCAAACAAATCCCCTCCGCTCACCAGCTCCATCACCAGGTAGGAGTGAGTACGAGTGTGATGGTGCACCAACAGCCGCACTATACGAGGATGACACAAACTTCCCAGAAGGCTCAGCTCGTTCTGCATCATGTGCTCTCGACCGATCAGCTTGGAGCGCTCGACAATCTTCACAGCGAAGGTTTGGCCGTTGTCACGACGGCGACACTCTTGCACCACCGCAAAGTTCCCATCTCCAATCACACGCCCGATTTCGTAGCAGCGCTCGATGTCTGAGAAGGTGAGACTACTGCCATCTGAGGGAGGAACACATGTTTCTGTGTTTTGCGTGTCTGTGTGAGCCGGCTGCACATCTGGAGCTGGATTTGGAGGCTGTAAGCGCATCAAACTCCTCTCCCTTTCTTTTCTGATTGGCCGAGGAAGTGAAGGATTGATACGAACGTCTGACTGTTTCACTTCCTGTTCCTGTTGAGAACTTTCTTTTGGTTTCTTCATCACAGGAGGAAGTGGGACCCTTCCTGATAATGAGCTGATCAGTTCTGCACCCTGATGTTTCCTTCTTGCCAAGCAGTTTTCACACAGTATGGGAGAAGGTGTCACTTTGTCTCTAAGACCTCCGTTGTGTTTAAATGGAGCGGTAACAGAGGGCTGTTGCTCTTTGTCTCCACCTCTCACACGTAGTTTCTGCAGGTTGTTGGGAAGGTGAGCAGGTTTTCTACAAGAGCTCTTTTTATATGACTTCTGGGAGTCAGGATTGCCATTTTCTTTCTGGTGTGTACCTGTATGCTGTAACATATGAGCATCATCATGATTCTTGACGTTTGTATTCGTGTCTCTGTGTGTCTCTTGGCTAGTCCCATCATTGTCTGTCCCCTCACTGTATCCACTGTCAGCCTTGGCAGCTTTATTTGGCACTGGCCGGAGTTTCTTCTCCCAGGCTCGCAGCACATTAGCACAATAATGAGAATGTTCTGGAAACAGTTCCTCCAGAGCATCCTGCACACTGGTCAGCTCAGGACGAGCTTTACTGAGAGCCAAGAAGGCTGCCTCACCCCGGAAGAAATCACACACACCCTTAACCTGGGACAGAAAGACAAAAAGTGGTTAGGACAAATCAGAAGGAACAAAATGTGGAGCTGTTTCATGAGGTTTCAAATTCAGCAAAGATGAAATGTGTAAAATGGAAGAATATGCAATGATTTATTCATATAAACCCATATTTTATTCACAATTGAACTTAGAAAATGAAATGTTTAAATTAAGACATTGTACTATTTTTATAGGGAAAACAGGTAAATTTGAATTTTGTGGCAGCAACACATTTTTAAAAAGTTGTGATGGGTAACAAAAGGCTGTAAAAGTAGGTGGTACAAAAAAACAACGTGAAGAGCATATTGTAACATTTATTTGATTGCATCATGTCAGTAAAAGGACTTGGGTTTAAAAAGCATTTTAGAGACGCCATATCACTCAGAAATAAACATGGGCAAAGGTTTGTCAGTCTGCATTAAACTGCTTCTAAAAATAGAACCATTTCAGAACAATGTTCCTCAATAAAAAAAGAAGACTTTAAATATTCCATCATGTACAGTTCATAATATCATCAAAAGATTTCAATAATCGCCCTGTGATGGACTTGCGACCCGTCCAGGGTGTACCCCACCCCTCGCACAGTGATTGCTGGACATGGGCACCGGTGACCCCGTGACCCAAAATGGAAGAAGTGGGTAAAGATAATGGATGGATGGATGGATGGATATGTTCATGATATTTGGGCCCTCAGGGGCCACTGCATTAAAAACAGCTCGGATCCTGTTCTGGACATCACTGCATGGGCCCAGGATCATTCTTCTTCTTCTTCTTCTTTCGGCTTTTCCCTCTTCAGGGGTCGCCACAACGAGTCATCCTCCTCCATCTGTCCTCTGCATCCTCTGTCCTCACTCCAACAACCTCCATGTCCTCTCTAACTGCATCCAGATACCTCCTATTTGTCTTTTTCCTGGTAGCTGCATTTCTAACATTATCTTACTCCTACAGCACATCTCACCACTGTCCTGCTGTCCTCATACATGTCCTGTACCCGTCTAACATATTTATCTGCAACTCCAGATTTCCTCATGCGATACCACACCTCGTCCCTCAGCACTCTGTCATATGCTGTTATCCACAAAGACACAATGGAGTTCTTTCTGACCCTCTCTGTACTTCTCCATCAGCATCCTCAAAGCAAAGGCATCATTAACCAGACAAACCACAATAATGACACTTTAACTGGACATTTGACACCTTATCCATGCTGCTGATTTTTTACCAATAAGCTGCTAAATTCATGCACACCTTCTCACAACTGACTCTTGTTCAGGTTGCTGTTTACTACACCTTAGTACAGTTATTATTGTTAGTGTATAGCTTAGATCCTTGTATACTCTTTCTTGTTATACTTTATATTTTTGATATTTTTGGGTGTAACTGGGACCTTGAGTACATAATTTCATTCCACCTCATGTATGACATGTAGTACTTGCAATAACAACATTGTAAGCGTCTATACATTTATTATGTTCATTATGTGAATAAGTAAAGTGTTAAAGTGGTTTTTGATGCTGTTAATTTTCTCAAAACTGTAATTTTTGGAAGTTTAAATTAAAAATTTTGATAATTGTGTCTTGAATGAAAAATGCCCCATGTTTAAAAGTATAAACATTGTAGTAACGCTATTAAAGAACAGGTTTATGTTACACAAATATTTCCATTGCATTAAAGAGACAAATTGAAGAAAATTATTTAATAAACATGAGGGTTATGATGGGGTCCCTGAAACTTGTTCTCCTCTGTAAGGGGTCCCTGAACACAAAAAATTTGAGGACCCCTGGTATCACAGCCCTCCTGGCACTGAACAGCATACAATATTACTCTACTGGCACAAACAGAGTAATATTGTATACGCTGGCCAGTGCCAGGAGGGCACTTCAGATAATAAGGCACCTGTGCTGTGGCTGGAAGGAGCTTATATCCTGGAGAGCACAGATGGGGATAATTATTATAGACAGGCACAGGTGAGCATGATTAAGTGATTGAGTAGTCATGGGGAAGGAGTGCAGTAAGATGGAAAACCATTCATTGAAACAGTCGAGGCATGACAAGAAAACAACCCAGGAGCTTGAATCATGACAGCAATGTTCTTTCTGATACATCCTGATATGTGCGTGGAACCTGGCACACACAACCTTTTCGTGTATACGCACCGTTAGTACATGAGGCCCCTGGAAATGCACCATCAATGCAGAAAAGTAAGACTAAAACTTATTTTTTCCCCTAAGAAAACATATGCTTTCTTATTTTAAACACTTTATATGTTTAATATGTTCCATTGTGAATAAAATAGGGCTTTATAAGATTTGCAAATCATTTTGATTTACATTTTACATACCATCTCGACGTTGTTAAAATTGGGGTTGTATAAGAGTTTGACATTTAGCACACACATTTTTTTTTACCTAAGCTTTAGTTTGACCAGATATATTTCCATCCATTATCTTTACCCGCTTATTCCATTTTTGAGTCACGGGGGTCGCTGGTGCCCATGTCCAGCAATCACTGTGCGAGGGGCGGGGGACACCCTGGACGGGTCGCAAGTCCATCACAGGGACACATAGAGACAAACGAGACAAACAACCATTCACTCTCTCACTCACACCTAGGGACAATTTAGAGTTACCAATCAGCCTAACATGCATGTTTTTGGTCTGTGGGAGGAAACCAGAGTATCCGGAGAAAACCCACGCATGCACGGAGAGAACATGCAAACTCCACCCAGAAAGGCCCCTGGACCGGGGTTTGAACCAAGGACCTGCTCGCTGAGAGGCAGCAGCTCTACCAGTTGCGCCACCGTGCTGCCACCAGATATATTTAACTGTACAAATTAAAAAAGTCTTAAACACAAAAGCTTATTTTGAGTTTGAGCAACAGAGGCCTAGTCACATCTTAAGTCTTCCCTTTCATGTTGATGCTGTCTCGGTTTGGCCTCACCTCTCGTGTGTGTATCGTGTACAGACGTGTGACTCTTCCTCTGTGCCAGCGTGGAAACCCCAACGCCTCTGAGATGTCCAACAGAAGCTGCTCAAAGGACACTACGCCCCTTCGGTTCAACAGCACAGTGACCTTGTGAACAAAAAGACAAAAAAATAATTTTAGGACATAAAGACGCGTTACAACATTTAGCTATTTTTAAATACAAAATAAACTGTTTCCATCATATATTAGCTGCCTGTTATGAGTCAGCTGATGCTAATGGATTATAGTTGTATGCTATTTCATGTTGAGTTTAATTAAAGAATGACAGAATTAGATTATAATAATTTAACCTTTCAATCAAGAATCGTTGGGCCATGCCAGCAATAAAAACACTTTTAGTTGGTAATAGTTTAACAAACTAAACAGTATTTTAAAACTGGTATTTTTTGCACAAAATTATAAGAGTTAGAATAACATTTTGGATGCATTTCTATTAATAAACTTGTGCTCATATAAAGATTATGAGACGTGTTATTGGCTCACTAAAAGTAAATCAAAATCAGAATAAGCTTTATTATCATTGTAGCGAAATACAGTGAAATTACGTTTGTACAGTCGTCGAAAGATGGGCGGCGTGCACGTTGCTGCTGCTACTGGAGCGCAGCCTCTTATCCTTTTCAGAATACTTTTTTAGATAGAAAAGGGGGAAAAGCCACGAGGAGAGGAGAGTGGCATTACAAAAAAGATCTCTTCACACCTTGTCCTAACAGGACACAATTTAAGACATCAAAAAACTCTGCCAGCAGCACATTTATGAACACGTTACATATGCATTTGACGGCAAGGTGGTGAGATTTGTCCATGAAGTACTTCCAGACAGACCATAGTCCTGATAAGATGTTGGTCAGCTGGCACAGTTCTGATAAGCTTCCACAGAAGTTCCCGGGGGTGGGGGATGCAATAGACAAAGCTTTTTCTTAGTTTACCCATGTCCCAGGAGAAATTTCATAAGTTGGCCTGTTTTCGAGGCCAACTGGGGGAGTCAGATAAGCCACAATTGTTGATTTTTTTTCCAGGCATGCTGTTTTTTTCTTGTCAGCATTGAGTCCTGCTGGTACTGTCAAGATCCAAAATGGCCAGATTAGTGGGCATTCCACTGGTCCGTGCTTACGAGCCTCCTCCAAGGTTGTTTCCAACATGCTGGCAAGTCCCAGAAGCCGCAGGTGGCCTGTGATTCTCACAAATTGCTTCCATCTTACAGTTTAGCTTATAAATCAGCTGATTTTGAGTCCTTGAAGCACGAACCCAACCTTAACAAGGCAGGCAGCCTGACGAGGGCCAAATTAGCTGCAGCTGCCTTCTTTGTATGTTGATAGACCAGGAACCACCTGATTCCAAAAAGCAGGAAACCTGTTATCATAAATCCAATTATATATGTCTTCGGTGTCCTCCTGAGACAAAACGGAAAGACACATGAACTCCCACGTCCATGATGTATCCTGCAGCATGAGTCTCAGCAGGACATGAGGGCTCTCCAGGACCTGTCGCTTTGTTGAAAACATTTGGTCGATTAACAAAAAAAGGTTGAATCATGTCATCTGGACTTCGTTTTTTTTTTTTTGTTAAAAAGAAACGTTTCGCCCCTCATCCAAGAGGCTTCGTCAGTCTGAGGCCTAGCCATCTGGTATTACCCAGAAGCCACCCTGACTCTTGTGTTTCAAGCCTGCCTCAGATACCCCTGAAGTCTGGCCTTTTCACTAATGGTTTCAAAAACACAAAGTTTGTTTTCTCAGTCATCCAGGTATATAACAACAAAAAAAGGTTGAATCATGTCATCTGGACTTCGTTTTTTTTTTTTTTTTTTTGTTAAAAAGAAA